TATATTTATATGAAACTCCACAGCAATGCGCATCAACAAACCTACCGGGAGTTGATCCTAGCATCTTCAACTTTTATGACAAGCGTTTAACCTTCGGACTGCTGAAAGAGCAATCATTGGTTTATAAGTTTAATTTCATTTAGTTCATCATATTACACAATCATCATCTAATTCCACTGTTAAGTAACTTCACTCACTACCTACATTGATAAACTCCACTGGTCAAGATTTCTAACTACAATTTTGGAAATCAACACTCAAAAATAGTCAGTGGTGATTAAGAACCACCGGAGCTCTCCAGACACAAGTCAAATGGCAGTCGCGTGCTTCACGGATCTCATTGTTTCCTTAATTAAGATCAGTTCATGATGTAAGCTATTAAGTTAAACAATCACCACAGATTTTCACCAGTGACTGCGATTAGATGTCTCATTTACAAACCTACAAATTCAGTACATTTTAATCAATGATAATATATTACCTAATCTTTTCAAAAATGACATAAAATTTACTTTCCTAAAAAAGACAATACAACTTTTATGGTTCATATCATGTCTCTTTTTTCCGTGATACTGATAAGTTGGGATAATAAAATAAATTTTCTGTTGAAATAAAACTGTATGAAAATGTAACAATGGTGTGTTGATTATAAGAAAAGTGAAACTCCGTCACCCGTTTGTATTAAGATGCTCGGACTTCACAGCACTACAAATTTTATGATGAAACCTGAATTTTATTCAGGTTTATCTTACACCCCTATCACTCAACACTATAGTCTTCTACTGGAATCACACTAACTTGAATTTTATCACATCTGACCAAATACTATTATGAATCAACTAGTCCTAAATAGAAAAGGTAACTATTCAAATATTAAGTAGTTTTGAGTACTGTATTCTCTGAAGAAGTATAAAAGTAGTTATTAGTTAGTTTTCTACTGATTTAACTATGAACCTTGAAAAGAACAGAAGATTCAAATATTGAATACTGAATTGTTACTCAATGAGTGGCATAAAAATCTTTGAGTTTAATCTTATATGATGCGACGGACGAAAGTGGTTTGGCTTTCAGTCTTCTATAATTTGATATTAGTTCATGACTAAATGTATCTTCAGATTAAGTGAATCTACAAAAACTGATATTATTTCTCCCAGCTACCTTTATTGTTTGATATTATTGAACACTACTACACTCGACAAGTCCCCAAGTCAGAACACGGTTGAAGAAGAACGTGGTTATATTCTAAATAACAAGGGTGGATAGAATTAGGGATCACAATAAAAAATACTAGTATACTTATAACTTTTTCACAAGATCCTAGAGTTTTCTCCAAGTATCCGCTACTGTTGATTGCTTAAGAAAGAGCTAATCAGCGTACACCAACATAGTCTTGTAAGGAACACGATTTACTCCAATATATATCCCGCTAACAAAAACCACGTAATTGAATAAAGCATACTGATTATTTGTGGAAAGTGATTGTGGAAACTAATTGGTTTCATAATTCACATAATCAATTAGGCTTAGTCAGGAAACCGTGGAAAACCAAGAAAAACTAGAAATCCACAAACATTCGACGTTTAAAAAAATTTAGCTACTATGTAGAAGAAAAAAACTGAAGAAATCTCGAGAATTCTTCTAGTTTATAACGTATTTATGAGTAATTTTCTGGTAAGATGGTCAGTATTATTCTAGTTGGTAGAAGCAGACAAGCAAGTGAAGAGGAGCATTAAATCCGACAAGCAGAAATATATGGAAGAGCTAGCAATGACAGCGGAAAAAGCTGCAAGAGAAGGACATATGAAACAGCTATATGACACGACGAAAAAACTAGCAGGGAAATATAGTAAACAAGAGAGACCGGTCAAGGACAAAGAAAGAAAGCCAATGACTGACATTCAAGAACAGAGGAACAGATGGGTAGAACATGTCGAGGAACTCTTAAATAGACTAGCTCTATTGGATCCACAAGACATCGAAACAGCACACATAAACTTTCCTATAGCTTTCACTTCAAGGTCGAAGAAATTAGGATGATCATCTGACAAACCAAGCATGGGAATGCATCAGGAACTGACAACATACGGGCTGGAGCATTGACGTCAAGCATGGAAGCAACAGTAAACGTGCTCCACGTTCAGAAAGATGTGGGAAAAAAACAAGCGACAACAGATCGGAAAGAAGGATACCTAATCAACATGCCAAAGAAGGTAGATCACAGTACGTGTAAGAACCGTAGAGGCATCATACTACTATCAATATCCGGAAGTGTTCAACAGAGTGTTACTGAACCGGATGAAAAACTTAGGAGACGCTCACCTTTGGCCGGATTCCGTAAGATCCGGCTGTACACAAATCAAATGACGACACTACGGACCATTGTTGAGCAATCATCTGAATGAGATTCTTCACTTCGTAATAGACGAGAACAAATGTGGGAATAACCAAATGAATCTTAGAACATTAGTAGCATATTTCGCATTTACACATCAGTTTCCTTGACTATGAGAAGGCGTGTCACAGCATAGATAGAAGAATTTTACGGAATCTTCTTCGACATTATGGTGTACCTGAAAAAATCATCATCACCCGGAATTCATAAGACGGACTACACTGCAAAGTCGTGCGTGGAGGACAGCTGACAGATACTTTCCAAGTGAGAACCAGTGTCAGTAAATGCTGCTTACTCCCTCCCTTTCTTTTTCTTCTAGTGGCTGACTGGATTGAAAAGACCTATACATCTGAGGGCAAGCACAGAATACAATAGACAGGTTGGATGTAACTAGACGATTTAGACCTGAACAAATGTCAGTCAAGACAAACAGTGTGGCAGCAGCCTCTGCATCAGAAGGCCTCAACATACACAAGATAAAAACTAGGATCCTGAAATATAACACGGAGAACCGCAACCCAGTCACACTTGATGGAGAAACTCTAGGACAGATGGAAAGTTTCACGTACCTGAACTGCATCATCTATGAACATGGCAGATCCGACACAGATGTAAAAGCGAGGATTGGCAAAGCAAAGACACTATTCCTACAACTCAAGAACATATGGGACTCAAGAAACCGTCTGCATGCCAAAATCAAAGTCAGAATCTCCAGTACAACCGTTAAGACAGTTCTACTGTACGAAGCTAAAACTTGGAGAACTACCACAACCATAATCAAAAATGTACAAGCACTTATAAACAATTGTCTACACAAAATACTCAATGTCCACTGGCCGGATACCATCCGCAACAACCTAATGTGGGAGGAAACAAACTAGCTTCCAGCTCAAGAGGCAGTTAAGTAAAGATGTTGGAAGTGGATAGAACACACATCACGGAAATCATCAAACTGCATCACGAGGTAAACCCTAACTTGAAATCTGGAAGGGAAACGGAGAAGAGGGGGACCAAAGAACAATACTGCGCCGAGAATTGGAAGCACACATGAAAAGGACGGATAGCAATCGAAAACAACTAGAAAAGATTTCCCAGGACAAATTTGGATGAAGAATGCTGGTGGGTAGCCCATGCTCCTCCACGAGGGGTAACAGGCGTAAGTAAGTAAGTACGAGGCCCAAGGTGTTAACTCGACACAGATGAATTTTTGGTATTATTATTATTATTATTATTATTATTATTATTATTGGTAGTAGTAATAATAGTAGTAGTACAGATGTTTTGCACGGAATATAAGAAATGTTAATAAGTCTAAATTTTTCAATATGTTGATGTCAATACATCGAAGAAAAACCTAGCTATAAAATCAATAAACGTCACTTGGTATACATTTATTGGTCCGTTAGGTGACCAAATTGATTACTGAAAATACATCTACATTCTTGTAAATGGGGTGTGAGGATATTACTTAGAAATTCCGAAAATAGGGTAAATGAATCATCAATACATTCCAGGCTTATTTTTAACGATTGATTTTGGGTAAAGTTACTACTAACTGTTTGATGTAGATATGTTCAGTGTAACGCAACCCAACATTCCAGATGGCAAACACAAATACGGTAAGCGATAAAACCTAAAATGAGATGTTTAGTGGAAATCAAACTCTAATTTGCAGTATTCGGCTATTAAGTGGACGGAAATATGACCGGAATCTCTGGGCACTACTCTTTTACTGAACACGAAAATGTTGTGGATCACGTCGGTCAGCACATTGATTTATTTTCGTGATAAACGACATTATCAATTAAATGCAGTCCTACAGTAATACAAATATTTCATTAATATTGATGTTATCATTGTTTAGCTCTTAATGTTAATCATATTTGACCAATCAAATTTGTGATATAGTCATATTTTCAAATGACTGGATATAAATTTGCACTTCTTTTGTTGTATGGTATTCATAGACGATTTAACGAAACCAACTAACTTAGATCTGTATTTTAATAATACTTAGGGAAAATGTATTAAAAGGCAAACTCATTCTTCTCTATAGATTATAATTCATACCTTTTGAAGGCCTAGTAGAAATTGTAAAATCTCAGTGTTAACGACCTTGACTAAACTATTGGGTAATGCGCTATTTAAAATATTAAGAAGAATAACTTTCGTTCGTTTCTGTTCAGATGCGGCTTACTGATAAATGTCAATAAATATGAGGCATTTGTTCAAAGTCAAATATAAATGTTAAAGTTAGATTTCCATTGAATAATATTAAAAATAATTTTATATTCTTAGATGTTTGCTTCATTGAAATGTTACATAACAGTTAGTTCTCAAAACACTCGTTCCAATAAAAGATGTTTTACATAGGATTAATAAGCTAAACATTGTAAATATCATCTTTAAAAAAAATTTACGGTAATCGAGTATAAAACATGAACCAAAAAATAAATTTCTCTTCTCAAGTCATTATGAGGTAATTAAAATACGATGTTTGATCTTTTCAGAATTCAACTTAATATTGGATAGTATAGTTTAAATTAATAGTGTATTTGAAAACAGTTTATATGGTATACGGTTACATTATTCATTTTATAATACTTACTTTACAAATTGTAAGTTGTAAGTGATAATCACTACCACCTTGAACACGAAAACCCCATGGTGAATCACTAGATGCACGTCTTAATACAATATTAACTGGTGTTGTCTCTTCTAGTTTTCTTATATGATTATTTCCAGTAACACTAAAACTATTTCTACTACCAATTCCTCCTCCAATTCCACTTGTTATATTGTTACCAGTAAATAAATCTAAAGCATTTGACAATGTTACATGTTGTTTACATGAATGTGTTGGATTATTCATTTGATTAGTATGTTTTGTATTTGTATTAATTTTAGATAATGATGAATGTCCTGGTTGTTGACTAGCTACTGAACTAAAATACAAATTCATTTTGTTAAGTTGTTTATTTATTTAAATGTAAATAAATGCAAGAAATACAATTTGTTTAAATGATATTTAACACAACTGATTTTTCAAATTTAATCAAAATGGTTTTTCTTTACTATTTATATTGTTTGTGTATGTAAATATATAGAAAGAAAAAATAATCAATTTTCCATAGTGACCTGAAACTACATTTAAACAAACGTTTCATATTTATATTTTATAGATAGATACATACATTTAACTAATATACATAGATTTAGTGAAAATTTCCTTAAGGGAAATAAACAGATCAACCAATCTGTGTTTTGTAATGTTTCCTATTGGTTTATTTATAAATAGTTGTGCTTTTACGACTGGATGAATTGTGTATAGATGACAAACATAGATATGTAAATGGTTATAGATTAATCTGTAGAGGACAATCTAAAAAGTATTTATTTGAGATAATGAAACATATTTGGCATAATTCATTCTGAACAGAGATATAATATACGAGAGGATGACGATGTAATTTAAAGAAGAGATTACTTTAGGGTATGATGAAAAGAGTTAAACAGCTTTCTGTCCGAAAGAACGTGTAATTTCCACAATACCATAGAGGATATGAGATATGATAACCTCTAATTACAGAAAGCAAAGCTTTGGTTATATAATTTTACTTGCGACGGATTTAAAAGTTAACATAAAATTGACTGCAGTACTGATAAGATTTATTATGTAAACTCTTTACCTAGATCTGATCAACTAAGGTCGATTTTCACGGTTGACGGTATTTAGTTTTCTATTCTTGATCACTTTTTGTACTACCCCTATTTATGAATCCTAAATAAAACAAAATCAGAAGTAATTATTATTTGATATCATATAAAACATACTTTCACTTATACATTACAGAAATGGCTTCTAACATCCCTTGTCTTTCACCAATTATGAAGTCAAAATAGTCAATCCAATAATGAGTTGAAGAAATAATATATTAGTTGAGGCGCTTTTAGAAACTGATGAATTTTGTCAGTTATATCCTGGACTGATCGTAGTAGACGATCACAGAAAATCAGGAAGCAGTGAACAATAGTTTCGTCCTAATATGGGAATTCCTATCTGTGAGTATCCACGAACGTAATGTGAGCTGAACCCTTAACTTTCGAATTACTGAGTTGATATCTAATGGTTCACATTTTAAATTTCAGTCAATTTGCGATATTATACCGATAGTATTCAACGCTATCGATGGACAATTACCATACCCTCGAGATAGTTGAACTCCGGAAATAGGCTATGGATATTAATCACGACTGATCACATAATTAGAGTATTGAGGGTTCGTATAGATCAAATTTAGATTGCACAAATTTTATTTCGTTGATTTATTTAATTTCAGTTATTCATTGTTTTGTTCTTGCTTTGAAAGTAATCCTGAACACGAAGGGACAACGACTGAAGGGTTATTGTTAACTAATGTGAATAAATCAGTAGTTTTATCTTTATTTAGAAACACTAATTATCTGCTCCCGCCTGTGTCCAGAAAGCAAAATTTTCAGGTTTCTCGGTGAACATGAATTTATTGAATTGGAACTTCCTTCAATTCGTGATACATTAAGATTATCATCAAACTGGTGTGGTGAGTTCCTGTTTTACTGTTAAACTGACTAACTTCATATGTCATGCGATAACACTGAAAATTTTAAAAACTATCCATAAATTAAGATCTAGTGGGTCTTCACTTAATTCTTACCGATAGTTTCGTGAAAACCTTGTACTATCTAATTTCAATTTTCATCATAAATCCGTTTGTTTTAACCAGGTTCAATACACATTTTGTTTGAACAGCAAATAGTAATCTTCATGGTCTGGTAATTTCATCAACAATTTATTTCAAGTTGATACGTTTTCTGCATCGAGTCATGGACTATCGGAATTCTTTAAATGAATATAAACTATCAGCATCTATTGTAATGTTCAAGGTGAAATAAGATCTTTATATTCTTCCCACTGAAAGCCCATATTTGCAAAAACTGGAGAAATATCATACCTTATGAAGAAGTTTCATATGATTGATAAAATTATCTACATTGTATCATAAATCTAATTTGTTTAGAAACGAAATTATTCGTATACAAAATACTCATCAATAATGTCCTGTAACATTAGTTGTCTGTAATCGTCAAATACTCGTTATTAATTAATTTATCTGTCCAACATTGTCTCAAAGTTGTTAGTGTAGGTTTTACAACGTACATAAAAAATACCTATGGTGGATTGAAAAACATTAGTCATAACCAATATATTAATACAATTGTATTTCATTAGCAGAAAGTCAATGTTTCCATGTCAATTGAAATTTAATATTAAATCTCCTTCTTGATAGATTTTTCAACAGAACTGTTTTACGATCAAAATGATTGTATATCTTACTTTTCAATTTATGTAACAGTTACCACATTGACTAACACGTGATATTTTCATGAAATAGTTATTTTCTTTAAGTAATCTAACAATAGACACATCATAACTGAATAATTTACATACCTGTCAATCATTAAATTTATTTTAATTATGTAAATAATAAATTAGTCACCTTGAAAATTATCCCGCAGAAAGATCATTTTTACTAGATTTAGAAATAAATATATTTGTTTATTCAGTAATTTTCTCTGTCTGTCAATTATCTTATTGTTTATTCTATATACTATACTGTTTAAGAAGTTTTGTTGACGGACAGAATTATTTAAAGTATCGTTATTATGATTATGTATCAGGAAGTGTTATAGTGATTCAGTCAGTCATAATCAAAGTAGAAACTAGAACAAATGTAATTTAAACCAAGTAGTCAAATCACCTAAATATAACGAAATTAATAAGATGAATTAAAAAATGTCCAGATAATTTTAGTGGCAGTGAGAAATATAATTTGAAAAGACAGAACGAAAAAGTATGTGCGAAGAAATACTGGAATTCAAACTTTAAGAGAGGACAAATAATGAATACAACTAGCTAACTAAGATCGATTTAAACTATGTCAACTAACATCCCTAACCACTGATCATGATTGCACACTTGAGTTCTGACCATAACACTACAGATTTAAGCTTCTATCTCTTCTTACTTTGAAACTCCACAGTATCGCCAGTTCATGGTTCCAGGAAGAATCAAACTATGAATATTCAAGTCATGCGAACACCAGGTTACTTTTTGACAAATAACTTGGAATTCAGTAGCTTAAATTTCGGGATCTAGTAGCACATTAGACTGTAGTCGGATACAGATGATTACTACTCCTAAATTTTCTCGATTCAGTTTAGTACGTGCTACATTTCATTTTATATCAATCTGATCATGTCTTTAAATTCGAACGTATTCTGTCATTATTTCCAGAATATAACCTCTTTATTTATTTAAATTCAACGAATACTTCAAATATCATACAATTACTTCATAATAATCGACTATCTAATATATATGATTAAGATATTGATATTAACTAATTCTGTAAATATAGCTCTTATTAACTTGAAAAGAGAAAGAACAAAGATTCATTCCTCTAATACATAAGCTGTAAGCCTTCGAATATGATGCGTTTATTAAAAACTTGAAACCTAACTTCTAATCTGGAAAAAGTCACAAAAAAGGAAAACTGTGGAGAAAAGCATTCGTATTTCTCTTTGCAAAATGTTACATATCTAAACAACCAATATAACTTTACAGCATTAAGTTATTGTGTATTCGAAGTTTCTAGATCATCTTGTGAATTTATTGTAAGATTTCGACTAATAACTGGATTTGAATCAAGTGTAATAGTAACAGGTCCGTCATTAATAAGACTGACATCCATCATTGCGCCGAAAATTCCATCTTTAAGAAAAAGAATATAATTAGAGAATGTGGAGAAATAAAATAATGTTTTTTTTTTGGTTTCTAATGAAATAAAGTGTGTTGGTAAGAAATGGTGTTAATAAATACATTACATTTTGGGAATAAATAACAAATGCAAGTCCAGAGTAGAATATATTAAGTATCAGTGATACTAGAAGCCTATATGAAGATGATAAGAGTTCACAATAAGATACGTTTTGTGAACAATCTGCGAGAAATATATTTGAACCGTAATATATATATATATATATATATATATATATATATATATATATATATATATATATATATATATATATATGTCCGAAGGGTTGGTTCTTTATAAGTATCTCATAATCATGACAAAATATTATTGTAGACACTTTCCGAAATACAGTATATAGGATTAGTTGGATTTGTTATATCAATCAGTATAACATTTAAACCTTAATCTGGAAGTCCCTGGTTGAAATCACCTTGTAATTGAGGGATATTTTAAAATCTCAGTCATCCTCATCATAATTAATATCATTCTAAGTAAACAATATAAAGTTACTGTAATGACTGTAAAATGTGAAAGCCCTGAGTGTAATTTAGTCTGAGTTGAAGTTGTTATAATATTTAGTATATTCCAGAAGCTTCTGAACGAGCAAAGCCACCTGAAAACCTTTAAATAAGCTTGGTTTTATGTACATAGATCAACCCTGGAGTAGAAGTTTTACTTATATTTTACATCCTTTCTCTATTATTCGAGTTAGCGGATGAAAATTGTCTGAGTATATAAAAAGCAAGGGCTAAAACGTCAATAACAACTGTTCAAGTAGAACAATTATCAATCTGATGTCATTTCATGATGGGTTATTATATTTGGCATCATATAAAGTCCTTAAAAGGTTATTTTAATATTCCATAATTGTTGTTTTCAAATAGATACAATCAACAATTAACTGGAATTAATCAAGTAGACTAATAAATGACGGCTCAAAAGTCTCAAGGTTACCACCTGACAGCTTTTAGTCTTATTGCCAACAGGGATCTGCATTGAACTGCACTGCACTGAAGAATCCCATTGTAAGATAGAACTTTCCATTGATCCCTAATTTTTAATGATTTTCTAATTATAGTTAATCTATTCCCTTGATATTGTTTTACTTCTTCTCATTGATGTTTAGGACTACAATTGGTCAGTCTGTAGCTGAGTGGATAACGCGATGGTATTTGAAGCGAATGGTACTAGGTCCGAGTCCCAGAGTGAGCACCATCTCTGAGACGCAAGTACATCCAGCTGACGAGTCTCAAATATGACGAAACGCGCATCCACTATTCCACTGCGAGTCACTATCCATCTTTGCTTATAATTAATCTATGAATTAACTTATATATATATATATATATATATTATTATTATTATTATTTATTATTTTAACACATAAGTAGAGGTACAGGGAGGCACCACATACATATGCGCCACACAAATCTCAATTGATTTGTGTGAGGGCTGTGATACTGCCCGGGTGCCCAAACCGAAGCAGGATATATATATATATATATATATATATATATACAAATAAAAAAATTTTATTTTTGTTTCTTTAATTACCTTTAACTTTATCTTCATTATAATTCTTTTTTAATTGATTAATTAATTGTGAATAAATATCTTTCGATAATTTCGGATCCATAGCATAATGAAAATCTAATTTATTACCTTTTAATTCACTATATAATGTGAACTGGAAAAAAAAAACAAAAGTGAAAAATTATTCATTTTTCTTCTTTTTTTTTCTTTTTAATGTTAAATATTGATTTTAAGGAATGTAAATATTTGTACAAATGGAACGTACATTTAAGTATTGTATATAAATAGCATGAAAAAAAAAATAAAACAAAATAAATTTAGACATTTCAAACATAACATATGCTAAAATTTCAATGGTAGTTTTACTATTAAAAGATGAAAGGATAAAGAGTATAATTTGAGAACACTTTGACAATATAAATTGGTTACTAGTGATAGTTGTTTATGAAGCCCTAACAGCTGAGATTTAATCGATTAGAGATTAGATAACTTAAATAATCAATAATGATTAGTTTGTTTATAATATGTAATCATATTTATTTTTTCTATTGTTTTATGATAAGCAAAACCTATTTTTTTTAGTTAGTGGTCTTGTCATTGATTTCAAAGTATCATCGCCATTTAGTTATTACTTTGTACGAACAGAATATCATCAATATTCTTTCCTTTCATTTAAATAATCGAAAGTCTTTCTATGAAACCATAAAATCTTATTCTATAGAAAAAAGAAGTAGAAGAACAGTCAGTAAAATGAATGTATCAGTAATACAAAAAAGTGACCCTATACATATGCATTCGTAATTATACAATAAATATTATCTAATATATGCAAGACCATCATACTAAAAATGGTTGCACAGACCTATGTAAGGTAAGGAGGATTATAACTAACAAGTTTTTACTTGAAAACAATTATTATCATGTGCTCACTATTGACTAGCTTCGAGCAGTAATTCTCGGAGTTCTAGTGAGAAGCCGTGATCAGTGGAGTTCAACTGTGTCAAGTGTAAGGTAGTTTTAACCACTGAAGACAATGGAAGATAGTCGGGAAATATTGTGGATTGGTTGAAATTAGACATTAACACCGTTGGATGACGGCTCCGTTGTTTAGGGATTAAGCGTTCACGCGCGAGACCGAAGGTCATGTGTCCGAGTCCCACGTGCACCGTCATAGATGCACACTGGTGAGGGGTCCCATACTAGGACGAAACGGCCGTCTAGTGCTTATAAGTTTTCAATGGTAGTTTAAAAACGATCGGTTCATGATTTAAATTTAAAACAAATCATCACTGATATAGATACATGGGATTCGGCTAGAAAATGTAATCTAGTAAAACAACTAACAATCAAAATAACAGGGATTAATTTCAAAAATGAAACTAATAAATCCACATTTAACAACGGATACAATACTTTAAAACAATCCGATGTATACACCAAGGACATAAAAACTTATTATAAGAGCTATACTCTTGAAAGCGTTAGTTTTAAAATTTAATTTATTAATAGAAAGTGTAAGTGAATATGTTATATCCCGATAAGAATAATGAATGTTAACTCTTGGGATCCATTTATGGACCAATACTATACGTATAGTTTTATCGTATAATTGTTAAATGACTAAACTATTCATATTTGTGTTCCTCTTGTTATAAGCTTTATTTTCACTTATGAACTGTTATTATACGAGTTACCATTTTTGAGTTATGCCCTGTCTATCAATTACTATCTCCCTTATTCACAGCCACATTTGGCGAAATCTTTTACAAATGTTGCTTCCTATTGTATGGTACGATGTGGTCTGTTTGGTTGGTATATAAACCCAGTATGTTTGAAATAAATGATTCATATTGCAGAGGCTGAGAATGGTGTTCTGGACTTAACAGGCTAGGCGGTAAGCAGTACCGACAAGAACTCTAGACTGCTAGTACGGGTTATATGCGTCATTGGTCAGGTCGATAATTCACTGTTCTCTAACTGGCAGTATAATTACATTACATTATACATTAATAGGGCACAGGGCACAAGTTATAACAGAATAGGAAATAATGAAAAACAAAAATTGGTAATTATTAATAAAAGTATCAAATTATATGAGCATTGAAACTGAATCACTTTCGCCCCAAATATATGTCTGTGTAATAGACTAGTACTTTAATAAAATTAGATAACACTAAATTTCTATCGAATATACAAAGATATGAATTGGATTTCCAGGTGCTCAAATATTATGATTTCCTAAACAAATAAATCACTTGTTAATGATCTTTGCTAAATGAAGATGATTGGTAGGATACTCTAGACGTAGGTTTAGCACTAGTTAGCATATTTCAGTAAAACGTACATGAAATTTTAATGGGAATGATATTTCTTGTGAAACTCGAACCTGTATCATCCAACCTCACAGCTCGAGATGTTACCACTGAGTTATTCGGGTTAGAACTAACCGCCTGTATGATCGAGATAATTAAGATAGTTCGGCTACAAAATAGTGGCCAACGTTATGTTTATCCAGCTCTAAAGACCAAGTTACATTGTGACAATTAGCCCAAATGACTTGATATAACATTTATATTATGTTGAGATGTTCAGTGGTTGGAGGCAGTCAATAACTGGTTTCCAGGTCAGTTTTAACAATAAATTTACTAAACGCTGAATATATGAATAATATGGTTAAACAATTAACTACAGAAAAATGACTTCAATCATATCAACTGCAATCAATATTACTTCACAAATTTCACTCTTGAGAAATGACATCGTATCAAAACATCTGTCTTGGATTAATTTTGATTTGGTTATTTATTCTCTGAAGAATTGACTTGCACTAAGTCACGAAACGTCAGAAAATCTAATTTTTCTACTCATCGGGATATTACAAATATATTATTTATTCATAACAATCTATCCAATGCTCAACTTATTCGTAATTATCAAGTCAAACCTTGGTAATGATACCGACATCTGTCTAATTATCTAGTCATGTGCCAATTTTTGTGCCTACTACCATATAAACACCATCTTTAGCATGGCAGTGCCAAGATAAATCAGTTAAGCGATTTCCAATAATCAGTTCAAAAATTTCATATATATTGGAACCAGAAATTCAGGGTAACAGCTTACACTACTTAATCAACCTTTTGAGTAGGTTGAGTGTATGGACTGAAATATTAGGAAATAACGATGAACGTAGATCCAGTCCTGTGAAGTAAATAAGTCTCGAGAGATGTATGTTATAGATTAAAATTTTATGATATGATGATGAATAGGTTTTGAATTGTTAGATGAACGAAGGCAATGCCGTTCATTTGACGTGCAACAGTACGATGTAACAGAGAAATGAATATATATAACATGGTTTTCTACTATGATAATATGCTTATATACACGATATTAGCTTCCGAAAATAGGCGCAAATAAAAATTAATTCAGATAAAAGAGAATGGAAGACACAGAGTTTGAATATCACTCAAATTTCAATGATGTTAAGACCTGAATACTAGGTTCAATTTTCAAATTAAACATGAAACATTGAATAATAAAAATTTTAGTTTCCTGTAGAGACTCTATTGTGAACGTTCGTGCAAAACACACTAACACAATCATTTGAACTAATAAACTGTAAGGGATTGCAAAAATCAGAGTATACTGAGACAATTATGAAAAACTTATGCTGAATACTTGAGCATCAATATGTGAAAATGATATCAGAATTAGTTAGAAAAACAAAATTCCTTACCTGACTAACACAAAGAATTTCCAGATTTAAATCTTTTACACTTTTATCCCAACGTCTCATACCATCTAGAGATGGAAATAAACGAATGTTCAGTATTTTTCTAACCCTATAAATATTGAAAGTCAGAAAGGAATTTTATTTTACCCCCTATAAAAACGTACCAAATGTTATTGGCAAAGCAAAAGATAATGAACTATTTTGTTACGAAACCACAGGTCGAATTAAATTTATAAAAATTAGCCTGAAAAACGAAACGTTTTAAGTTTTTACAAAAAGTTAGAGAGAGAGAGACTGATCAATTGTAGTTTTTAACGTCAAGAACGGGCAGATTCAAACCCTTACAAGTAATATGAAGATAACTATCAGTTTAATATACTTCAAAAAATCAATGATACATGGAGAAATCGATATATATAGGTAGGATAAACTTTCTCAGTATGTCAAATGTTTTGATGCCGTTATGTTTTTGATATGCTAAGAGCGCAGAAGAGAGGACGAATTCGCATCTCTTCAGCATTTAATTATCTTACACCTGATGGTTGAAATTTAAATTCATTACAATATGTTATCATTGTAATAGATGTTCGTATATTTATGTATTTATTTTGAGAAGCATGGAAACTTATGTAGATAAACAGTTATCCCGCGTTCCACGTTGACTGTTTTAGTGCTATTTGTAGGTAATTTGTGTGATTTTATTGAAATGATGAATATGTATAGCTTAAATAAACACTTTTCATGATATTGCGTACCCTGAGTTAGATAGTTAAATTCCAAAGCCTTCAATATCGTTCTGGATAATCATTAATGCCTCCTTCAAGTGGAAGTAGGCTTTCAAAGTTATTCCACAAGCACTACTCAGTCTCTTCTGACTTATTTATTCTGTGACAGACTATTTGAAGCTTTTTAACTTCCTATAACCTAGTAAATTCGGAAAGTTTTGTTCAGTTGATACACTTGAATGGTTGATCTTTACCGTATGAATCGATAAGCCAGATCTATAACATATCAACTGATTAGATATTGGCCAGTATGCCATACTTCTAGAAATCTTTTGGAAAAATTAGAGTCCTCTGGAAACATAATTTTCACATTTCCCCAATCAAATCCGTGTTTGAAGTTATCTGAATGAATACAAGCGGTCGATTGATTGATTGGCAAACTGTGTAGATATGTTGTAGAGAATTTAAGGTGAATAAATCTGTCATGAAAATGTATTTATCCAGTGACTATCTTTAGAAAAATAATATGCTTAAAATATTTTGACTCAATGCACGAAAAAAAAACAGTAGGTTGACTGTTAAGATTTTTTTGACTCGTTTGTGAGTTGACTTATTGTCAACAACCTAGTTACACAATTTATCCAAAACGTTTCCCACGCCTTATTCAATTAACAGCAAAGTGATGAAGATACATAGAGTAAAAAGAATACACAAAATTAACGTTATCATACATATACTCCATATCACTTTCTGTATCTCGTCTCGATAAGCCAATAAGAACAAGTATTCCACGACCGATTTGACTGATAATTGAATCATTTACTAAATTATAAAGAAATTTAAGAATTATTAACATTCTATTTAGTCAGCAATACAAGTGGATAGAATGCACTGATTTAGTATTTCAAACCTATTAACGTTTAAAAACAGTCTTTTCCATAAAAGACATTGGTTGAAAAACAATCACAGAAAAATTTTGCTTTATGAGAGGTTTGTGGAGATTTTCGAAGTTTATAATTTATATTGCGTTAGTTAGACAACAGCAGAGAACCAGTGGGTACCGAACAGTTGTTTCGTCCAGGTATGTGATTCTTTAAAAATGTATACTCACGATTCCACAGGGAATCGAATCCAGGACCTTCAGATCTAACCTAGGGTGTAACTTTTGTACCAATGAGCCAAAATCCAATGGTTTACATTTCTGACCGCAATTTGTGACATTTCACAACCATTCAATCGCCCAGTATCATCAGTGAATTAATGTCACTTCTGATTCAGTTGACTTCGATAGAAACCAATCTCAGAACCGTAAACAAGTGACCAAGAGGTAGGTATTATTATTTGTTTCAATGTGTTTATGTAGATTTGGATGACCTTGTAAAAGCTTTCGTTGTGAATTAGCGTTGACTGAAAATTGTTGAAAAGTAAATAGTATCAGATACCTTTTTCTTTACAGATTTCGATGTTTCTACTACCAAGTACGACTTCTATTCATAACGTAAACTAACTTCGAAATATATAAAATGTCTACAGAATATCAAAGCAAATTATAAATTAAACATACAAAAATAATAACTTAGACAATAATCAAATACGATAATCTAAAGAAGATAATTTATCACATCGCACATCATAGGAAATCTTTACGCATAAAAGAAATTAACAACATACCACTAACAGATGCTTGTTTAACTCGTTGCACCACAGCACGCATTGCATGCAAAGAATAATATCTAAATAGATTTTTAGAAAATAAGGGGAAATGTCATTTTATGACATTACATTACTTACCTGTTATTAATTAGTAAATATATATTTTAGTCAATAATATATTGTTCTAGGTTTTATATGTAAACACCGACCAACTACGGAATAATAAACAAAGGTTGATTAGATGAAGCTCTTTAAGTTAAGCAAGTTAGAAACTATCAGGGAAAGATATAATAATCATATATATATTAATCTGCTGATCATTGATACTTATATTACACAGCTTGTATAGAGGATGTTCTATGAAAGTTGAACTAATTACCTTGGGATAAATCATATTACTAATTTTAAATAGTATCTATTAGTTAATGAATGCAATCTAATCACCTCGTCCCATATAATAAAACAATTATGGATTATTTTTGATTTGTGAATGAGAAAGTTCATTCAGAAAAGGAAAATATCACATATAATCTAATAATATTATTGAATATAATCGAGTGTTATAACAGAAAACTATAATTCGAATAATTGTACAAGATCCTTCCAAGTTGAATTTTACTATGATGTAAATTTATACATTCAACAAAATATAAGAATCTCCTAAGTTGTTAATTAGCCTAATTTTAAGGCATCCTCAAAATGTTTAACAATAATTAAATAGAAATAACAGGTGAGTGATGAGAGTTTTGCTGATTTAGACAAACACATTTACTCAAGTAAAATTCAATAAAGATATTATCTTACAATTAGAGATTGATTTGTAATCTTTGTTATATAAAAGAAAATCTGACTTCCGGAATCTTGATTTGATCCCAAGAATTTATTCATTCACTACAAAACATACAGAATAATTAAAGTTTGGTTCAATAAGTAAATGATAGATTGTTTCTTCTCATCGCAAAAACAAATTGACCAGTTTTTGTTTGCTTTAAGTAATATTTATCAGAAAGAACGCTCATTTGTATTTGTTTATAAAAATCTTTTCTAAGACTTGAGATTGTTATACCAGGCTCATGTAAGCTTGCCAAGTCAAGATGACGGTTGGAAGTCAGGATTTCGGGTTTAGCACCTTGAGTGTCCATCAGCATATAGTATCTCTAGCCTGAAGTAAACTGTTGTATCCCCAAATGCCCTGGTACGGCCGAGAGTGGGGTGGGTTCCCCCTCCCTCTCGAAATGCTCTCACATGGCCACGCGTATACAGCATCTGCCAGGGAAGTCCTACTCACTGCCTTCTCAAGGCACTACTGTTGTTTACGAAAATGAGAGGACGAAAAGCGAATGTCCGGCGCTATAACCTGATCCCAAATAAATGGTGCACATGGGCTCCAGTATCCTAAAGGAACAAATGGCGAATGAACCAATCGTTGGTCACTGGCTACCATGGGATTGTATCTCCTTACGATGCTCCACTGCCTTGTGGATCAGATCTTCAGGTCGAAGGCTCAGGGTGTGGCCCCCTAAGAAAACCACCTGCTTCGGTTTGGGCATCCGAGTAGTATCACAGCCCTCACACATATCAAATGAGATCTGTGTGGCGCATATGTATTTGGTGCCTCCTTGTACCAATATCTGTGTTAAAATAAATAGATTCTGGTCCGCCTCACCAATAACAAGTCAAAGGAATTATCAACAAATGATCTACTGAGAACCTAAGTTTTCTTCAATTTGTATTCGAAATGATGTCTGAACAACCAGCTTATTGAGCATACAAATGAATTATAACCATACTTATATAGTTACACGGTAGATTATATTGACGATCATTATTCATATACAGTTGGGAAGTAAATATATTAAACGCTGAAAAATTCCCATTATATTAAAAGCACAATTGTATGAACGAAGAATATTCTTTTCAATAATTTCTCATCAGGTTCTACAATTATAAATCCAAATTAATAATCCATAGAATTGGCCATATTTAAGGCAGAGTACATCATTTGGAAATTGTAATATGTAAATTAAGAATTGTTGTTTGTTATATAAAACCAAATCAGATCGTTAATGCACTCGGTGCATCGCCTCTGAATTGTAAGCGTATATACAGAGGCTTTTTATTTACAGTTGGGCATTCTGTATGCTGTCAGCCCCAACATTAACGATCTGATTTGATTTTATATGACAAACAACAATTCTTAATTTACATATTACAATTTCCAAATGATGTACTCTGCCTTAAATATGGCCAATTCTATGGATTATTAATTTGGGTTTATAATTGTAGAACCTGATGAGAATTTATTGAAAAGAATATTCTTCGTTCATACAATTGTGTTTTAAATATATTAAAGTAAATTGCTTGTGTTTAGAGGAATAATGACAGTTTATGTACATATAACTTTCGTGAGCAGCGATGAGTTAGTGTCCCAACTACTCAATGTTCAACAAATGAAATGAAGGTGTGAACCATGTTTTATCTAATTCGGTTCAACCAATCAGATAATATCAATGACGCTTGTACATATATACGTACAATAAATTGTAGCCCAAAGTTTGAGTACAGGTAATCAACAAATGATCTACATTTAACAAACTACTTAAAATTTCAATTAAATCACTTCACAACAAATTGGATATTCTTATTAAATTTGTACAGTGAAAAACAAAGAAATACAAATATAACTGAATTTAAAAGGTTTTATTTATTTGATATTGGTTTTGTACAATGAAATAATAAAAATATATGTGGGTAAAAAAGTAGTCAGTCATTTAGTCAATCAACTGGTATACACGAAATTAGATAAGTTGTTTAAAATGTTCCTTGCTTCGTTGAACTGTACCGATTTGTTAGGACCTTTTGGTGGCCAAACAGATTTTAAACGATTTATTACTGATGACATATCACGTAGGCACTGGGTTATGACAACATCATCATCTCCATCATTATTTATATAATTATTATTGTCAACATTAAAACAACTACTTGAAGGAATTCGATCCAATTGGGATGAGTGGACAGTGTGTTTAGTTAGACTTATCGAATCAATTCTCTATATGAAATAAAATAAGAAGTATAAAGACAAAATTAGGTCGGAGTGAATGACAATGACAATAACTAAAGTTTTACATTCTGTAAACAGAAAAAAACAGTTCCTTAAGTAATGCAAAAATGTCATATCGATTGTATAACTGTATTTTCTTTTTTATAAACTAGGCTTTTAGCACATTTTCTGCTAAAAGAAAAAATAAGACTAACAGATTGAAATAGTTTCGATACAAGTTGAACTAAGCTTTTTCGAGAAACAAATTCACCAGTTAACTTATTCTGACAGTTCAAAATTATTCAGTTACAATGTTTGTTTTATCACTTACATATATTATTAGAAGTAGAAAGGCAATAAAATACTTCATACGAATGACCAAATAAGTTACTTATGAAATTTTGACTTGAGTCTGCCTAGTGTACTTCATCTATATAGTTATCTACCATTTTTTAAAACTTTGAACAAGATTTTATTTAAATTGTGACTTTCAGGTAACAGGTTACATGTTCGAACCCCGCCTCATAATGCTTAATTTATGTTTCTGAATTCAAATGAAGTAATAAGTGTAGGGTTTATTTCATAGGTAACATTACTTATAGGAATGCTGCTACATCTAGTTGATAAGTCGGAAATGAATTGCTTCCATATGAAAAACAATGTTGCATCTCTAACACTAATAATATTCAAGTATTTGTACAAAAGGTTATTATATTGAGTATCAATACAAAAATGAAGGGCACAGATGTTTCATTCAAGTATAGGATTTTTGGAATATTGATTAATGGTTCGTGAATTCGCCATCATTATATTACAAAGGATGTAATTTTGTGAAGAAATTCATCTACAAATTAACCTAATATCTAAATTAAACGTAATATGTTAACTTCTTACCAACACATATAAAGAATAGCAACAATATCTTTTAAAAAGAAATGACTAGTTGGTGACAGTGTCTGTCATTGAAAGGCGTACCTCAGAAGTACATAAATCTTGCGAGGGCTCTTTACTCGAACACTACTAGTCGAGTCAGAGCTTATGGAGAACTGTCATCTGCTTTTGCAACCTTAAGTGTAGTCCGAAAAGGGTGTTCACTATCTCTATTTCTGTTCAACTTCATCATAGACCTACTGATGGAAATAACGTTCTCGTCGTCTGAATTTTCGGATATTGATCTCCTACCAGGAGGTCCACTTCTCGACTTGGAATACGCAGATGATATAGTCCTGTTTGGTGAAGACGCTGATAAAATACAGTCTTTTGGTAGCACTGAGCGTTTCTCGCCCTCTAAATGAAAGCTGTTGCTTCAGGACTGGCCTACGTCAACGCCTGAAATAAGGATAAGGAGTGAAGTAGGAGAACGCGTCGACAGCTTCACTCGTCTATGATGTCTGATCAGCCCTAATGGGTTGGTGTCAGACAATTAAGAAACAAGTATACTGAGCAGTGAACCCCGCCTGGAGTCCCTTTCCGGGGGCTACTGCCGGTCCCAAGCCTGGATAAAGGAGGAGGGTTGGGCATGGGGTTAGCGACCCCATCCCGTAGAAAACTAACTCGCTAAAAAAACGCTAACCAGAAAAAATTATTCAAACCATTTAAACTCTGCCCTGGGAGTCAGGAGGTCTTTGTTTAGAAGAATTATGACGCCTCATGATGAAAGCCGAGTTCCTTCGGAAGTCACGAGGCCGATGCCCCTTATGACAATCAGAGCAACCATTTATTTAGGTACATGGAATGCTCGTACAATGTGGGAGACTGGGAGAGTTTTCCAAATTGCTGCAGAAATGAGGAGATACAATTTAGAGGTGCTTGGGATCAGTGAAACACATTGGACGCAAGTTGGACAACAACGACTAGCTTCAGGGGAGCTGCTGTTATACTCCGGACATAAACAAGAAAATGCTTCACATACACAAGGAGTTGC